ACAAAAAAAAAAAACAGTATTTTTCTTTGCCCTGTGTACATTCCAAGTAACTATCATTGTGACTGAAAAATCATAAAAAACCAGGAGAAACATTCCAATAAAAATTTTTGAGTGTAAAGGTCAAAGTATGAATCTGACATTTTCAAACAGACTGAGATTACATAAACTAATTACATTCCCCTGAAATAGTAAAAGTAGTAAGCACTTTTTTAATGCTTGACTATTAGAATTCTACCACTTAGAGACAGGAATATAGTCTACTTCGGAAGAAAAGGGAAGAGAAATAAAGTAGAAAAACAGGACGTAAGTAATTATAAAGTAGCCCAGATAAATAGTAGTATCACATTGCAACAGTAAATGGCAACTGCCTCTGCGTTTTGAGATACAGTTTTGCTCAATCATTTAAATGTCATGTTTTCTCAAAAAATGAGCAAGAGGTGAGACAACTCCTACGGTCTCTTTTAGTTCTACTATTTTATGTATCATTAACTGAACCGTGTATCACAGTATCACTTTAGACCACCACTTCAAATCACTGTACTCAGGACACGTGGAATCTCATAAGCTAGACTTTCAAATACTGATCATACTATGTTAGAGCAAAAATGTTAAATAATTTATATTTAGTATCATCTGAGGCATAAGTTACATAATCATATAAAGACAGAATCCTCCAAAACAGCACTTACATATGAAGCATTACATGCTCACATATGAAACCCGATACACACATTTATTAACTGCCTTATTTTAAACCACAGATTAAGTAAGTGAAATTGCCAGTCATGACTTTAGCTAATGGTCTGTAGTTACTGAACTGAATCTCTAATTTTAGAGATTTACTATTCAAATGCTTAAAAAGCAAAATATGTAAGTATTACTTCAAAAGCATATTTATATTAGCTTATCTTAAGATAAGTCAGACATATAATTTAAAATATTTTTATGTATTTCAGGGTGTCCCAGGCATATGCTGTAAGTACAGGACTTTTTAAAATATAAACAGCATTGAATAAGCAGACAGTCTTAAAAGAAAAGAACTGACTGTTCCCCAAAGAAGGCCAAAAAGGCTACCACTGACTGGCCAAATTCTTATTACTATTATTTTATCAATTACAGAAATAAGAGCCATCTACTTCTGCACTGTTACACGCAGACTTCTAGCTTGCTCTCCTCTAATCTATGCCATGATTATATTTTAAGATTAAAAGAACATTGTAGTAATTATTCTCCTACCACCAAAATCCATAATGCAAGATCTTTATGATGTGAAAAACACTGTTGAAGTGAAATGCCATAGCCTCCCCTTACTCTCTGTACCTTTCAATAAAATACACTTCTAATTTTTGGTTTAAAAATAGGAATAATGAGGTATGTATGTTAATAATCATGCCATATTGCTTGATCTTTTCAGATACTGTAATAAATCAGGAAGGCAAAAGCAAACACGAATACAAAATTCTTATAGCTGTTCTTTAGACCAATACTTATCAAAGCCTGAGTAGCTTAAAGTACTCTGAGTATCTACTCCACCATGCACCT